GACTTTGAGATAATAAATATAAACTTTTGTTTATTTTGTTGATGTCTTCACCATCCTTCTACAGGGCATTCTTCTTACAATATTGTGATTGTAAGGGTTTTTTTGTTTTTTGTAAGTTTCATGTATTTTATTTTCCTGTGTTACCTGTGATTATCTCACCAGGTTAGTATTCTTTTTAGGCAGCCAAACCCAAAATCAGTCAAGATTTGTTTACTCAGGTCATGATTAACCATTCTTCTTTGGAACAGAAGTCAGATGCAAGTCAGAGTCTTTTATAACTCAGTGTTGAAAGAAATATAGTCATAATCTATTCTCTAGAAGGTTACTAGCTTCATCCCACAGTGGAAGAAAAGGGACCACATTATAAATAGCAACAAGTAGGAATCACTGTGACCCATTTTATAGTCTACCTACTATAGGTCATAATATTTGCTTCATATTTCATATTTTAAGAAATAAAATATCACATAGTGAGGTCATCTCTCTTCCATATCCTGGTACCATTTCCTTGATCTCATTTCCCTTTGTCCTCAGAGGTAAGCACTATAATCCCTTTCTGTCTCAAGTTCATATATTAAAAATTTCCATATGATTGTTGGAAAATCATGAACAAACTTTTTGGCCAACTCAATATATTACTTTGATTCTTACTTTTTTACATAAGTGACACTGTATGTGATATTCTGCAAATTCCCATGTTCACTAGATGTTATATTTTGAAATATATCTATTCTGTTGTATAAAGATGTTTGTCTTTAACAGTTTTAATTTTTCAATGAATGAAAAACACAATTTATGTATTATCCATTTCCCTTTTGATGGACGTGTGGGTTGTTTCCAATTTTTTGTTTTTAAACCTATATTGCAGTGAGCGTACTCTTATAGTTTCTTGTGCATGTGTGGGAGGGTTACTCCAGGCGGTATATACCAAAGTGGAACTGCTTTCCCAAATTGCTCTGCAAACTACACTTTTATGTTGCTCAGAAAAATCTTAACCCTACCTGGGGTATTTCTGGGCTTCACTTGAGCAAGAATGGAATGACTTTCTATTCAGGCTCTGTTAGTTTTCTTGTTTTTCACAAAAGCATGTCAACACCAGCTTTACTCTCTATTAAGGTTAAAGGGAATTACCTGACAAAAGCCATATGTCGGGCTGTTATCAGAGAAAACAAACTCAAAGCCACATCTAGTCAAGATCTTTCAAACTCTCAGATGAGAAAACAACAGTTATGGAAGATTACCTGGAAAATACTCAGTCTATCCATTCTTTCTGATCCTTTAAATATGGGTTAAACTAGAGCAACAGAAGACTTAAATTATATCAAACTAGTTTGCAGCCTAGAGTCTTGCTGCTCAGAGCATGGTCCACAGACCAGCTGCATAAGCATCCCCTAGAAGCTTTGGATAATTGCAGCTTATATGGCCCTCGCTCCTGATCTATTGAAGGGGGTGTATTTTAACAAGGCTCTCAAGTGATTGTATGTACATTAAAGATTAAAAGAGCACAATGTTAGATAATTACTTCCCATTTTGTTATTGATAATTGGATTTCATCTATCTTTATTGGAGCAGATGAAACTCATTGTTATGTACACATCAAGAATATTGTCTGGGTCACTAACCATTACATCAAATAATAAGTTGTTAATGAGGGCCCTCCAGAAAATTTGTCTAATCTTAGTGTCAGAAATAGCTTCATTTCTACTTTCTATTTCATTTTAACCCTTAAACCAGTGGGAAATATGTAGCTGACCACAGTTTCTTTTTCTTTAACTAATTACCCCAAATGGGACTAACCTCTGACAGATATATAGACATTTACAGTAGACACCCTGAATTAGTTTCAAACCCAGCTCCATTTTATGTCCTGAAGTTTCATGTTTTCCTTACTTTCATGTGTTTTAATTCATATTTTCTAGTTGTATTTTATATTTCACTGCAAGCCACATTGAAGTATATTTGGAACAAAAGAATAAACAAGCAGAACACTAACTGGTGCTAAATATAACAAATATAAAATATCCCACAGTGATCATTCAATACATTTTATCTTGGTATCATCTCATAAAATAAACACTGTTGCCTAAATAAAACAAATTCCAAAACATCTCTGCCTGAGGAATATGACACTAAAGTAATAGATTTTTTAAATAATTCATTTTAGAGCAGTTTTAGGTTTACAATAAAATTAAGAGAGAGATTTTCTTCTATCTCATCCTCACACATGCATACTCTCTCCCATTATCAACATGACTCACCAGAATGCTACATTTTTGCCAAAGATGAACCTACATTTACACATAATAATCAGAGAAAGTTGTGGTTTATGTTAGGGTTCAATCTTGGTTTTGTACATTCTATAGATTTGGACAAAAGTATAAGGACATATATTCATCATTATGATAATATTTAGAGTATTTTCACTGCCCTAAAAATCTTCTATACTCTGCTTATCCATCTCTCCCACATGATGAGTATGTTTAGTTTTACAAGAAATTGCCAAACTTTTTTGCAAAAACTGTACATTTTTCTAGTCCCATTAGCAAGATACAAGTATTCCTGTTGCTCCCAATCCTCAACAGTATTTGGTGTTTTCAGTGTTCTGGATTCCAGCCATTCTAATAAGTGTGTAATGGCATCTCATTGTTGTTTTGATTTTCATTTCCTTGATGACATAGGATGTGGTAATGTTTTTCATATAATTATTTTCCATCTGCCTATCTTCATTGATGACAAGTCTGTTAAAGTCTTCGGGCCATTTTAACTCATGTTGTTGAGCTCTTATGTTGATTTTTAAAAGTACTTTGTGCATTTTGAATAACAGCCATTTATCAGGTGTGCCTTTTGCAAATATTTTCATCGAAGCTGTGACTTATCTCCTAATCCTATTGATTTTTTCCCACAAAACATATTATGAAAGCTTAAAGCTTATAAGTACACTGAAAAATAAAACATTTAAGGAACTAACACCATGCTTAAGTAAAATTTAAATGATAACACTATAAGATGACAGTCCACATGGCCACAGCTGGCATAAATCATAATGCATGAATCTGTTTACCTGGGCTTAATACCACAACCTAATTTGACATTCCTAGGATTTTTCCAAGTAGTTTAATTCTTGCAAGGTGTTTCTCAGAATGTTTAGCCCTTTATCAGTCATAATTGAAATATAGCCCAAAGTGTATTAGACTTAAAATTATATTGGTTACTCATTAGAAATGTGACCTTATCAAAGATGCTTATATGTCTTCTGAGTTTCCACTTCCAAAGAAGACAGTGATAACATCCACTTCATATGTTTGTTGAGAGTATTACTGATATAAGCTATGCAAAAGAAATGGGCAGAGAACCTAGTAATAATCAAATACTAGTGCTTCTCTCTGTTAACAACCTTGTAATGTTTTGTTGGTATACACAAAAATAACAAAGAGAATATTTAGAAAATGTTGTTCAAACCATAATATTAATAGCTGCATAGTCATCCTTTATTTAACTATCTTGTGTTGGACACTTAAATTATTTCTTGTTTTCTACTCATAAATAATGCTATGTATACTTATATCTCTGTGTACATTGTTTATTACTTCTTTATGTGAAGCACATCTCTAGAAATAAAATATGAGACAGAAGGATATGACTATATTGATGCTTTTTATATTCATTGTCAGATTGCCCTTTCAAATGTTATATTTTTGATTTCAGTATATAAATGTGTTTATATAATATAAATATATAATATTTATATATATTACAATATAATATAAATATAATTATATTCCAGTAGTCATGTATGGATATGAGAGTTGGACTATAAAGAAAGCTGAGCACTGAAAAATTGGTGCTTTTGAACTGTAGTCTTGCAAAAGACTCTCCAGTTTCCTTGGACTGCAAGGAGATTCAACCAATCAATCCTAAAGAAAATCAGTCCTGAATATTCTTTGAAAGGACTGATGCTGAAGCTGAAGCTCCAATACTTTGGCCACCTGCTCTGAAGGACTGATTCATTTGAAAAGACCCTGATGCTGGGGAAGACTGAAGGAAGGAGGAGAAGGGGACGACAGAGGATGAGATGGTTGGATGGCATCACCGACTTGATGGACATGAGTTTGAGTAAACTCCAGAAGTTGGTGACGGACAGGGAGGCCTGGCGTGCTACAGTCCATGGGGTCACAAAGAGTTGGACACGACTGAGTGACTGTACTGAACTTAATCCTAAATCAGAATTGGAAACAAGTATAATTAAATACATGGGAGAAAAAAACTGGAAGATGCATGGAACATAACTTTAGCTTACAACCAACTTGATTTTGGGCTTCCCTGCTGGCTCAGGTGGTAAAGAAAGTACCTGAAATGCAGGAATCCTGGAGAAGGGAATGGCTACTTTAGTATTCATGTCTGGAGAATTCCACGGATAGAGAAGCCTGGTGGGCCACAGTCCAGGGGGTCCCAAAGACTTGGACACGACTGAGCAACTAACACTTTCAGTAACAAGACGACTAACATTTTCCTCAGCTTCACTAAAGTTTTGACTGATTTCCTCCTAACTATGGTCCCCTAACCTCCATTTTCTTAGAGAATTTACTTCAGAAAATCTGCAATTATAAATTCTTTCTTTGCTTCTGTGAAATGTAGACCATTGCCCAGTCTCTTACCAGTTTCAAAAACTAAAAATGTCTTTCTCAAGGAACTGGGAGCCAAATTTTTTTTTTTAATGTGGTCATCAAGAAATGGAGATTCCCTATTTCCCAGTCTATGGGATGGTAAGAGGTTAACTTTAAGAAGCACCAATTAGTAATCACAGGCAGCCTGGTACAGTGGCCAAAGTCTTCCTTAATGTCCTCCACGTTTCCAGATCTTAAAAACTCACTGCTATTTCAGAGTTGAGCTTAACCTCTCTCCTCTATGGCAATAGGCTTAACTTGTATTTCAATAGTCTCAAATAAATTCTTTTTTCCCTGCTTAACTCCAACAGCCGTAATTTTCCTTTGGACACTTACCATCTTGTTTGAAGGCATCTGAGGGATGATAAAGATTGATGGGGGAATAATAATGTTGAGCTGCCCCTCGCCAGCTTGGTGAAGAAACACTCAGTGTTCCTGATGAAGGGCTGCTGTATCGTGGTCTAGTCCTTGAACCATACAAGGCTGAAGAGGAACTCTTCTTAATTCTATGCAAAGCAGCATATGAAGTAGGGAGGCCAGGAAGAGCTCCAGAATACTCTGTAAAAAAATGATAATAATAAAATGAATTCTTAGAAGACGTTATTTTAATAAAAACTTTTCTTCTGAAGACATTGTTGAAAATCTGGCAATCAAATGGAAACGACAGTGGGAGCTGTAAAAAGTAAAATTTTACAAACAGATTTTAGAGTACTCTCTGAAAATTCTACTATTTATAACATTGGTGTCTTGCAAGAAAGAAAGAGAGACATGAGGGATGATAAAAAGAATAAAATAAAAGGAGAGAAAAGGAAGAAGGAAAAAGAAAAAAAGGAAGGAAGGAATCCACTCAAATTTCAATTCATTTATTTTCTTTGTCAGGAATATTTGGCCTTAATCTAAAATATCCATCCTCACATATGAAATCAGTTCCTTCTTTATTATTTAAAATTGAGGGAAAAAGCATTATCAACTACATTCCGCAAATATATATTGGATCTTCATCACCTAAAATTTACCATATGGTAGAAAATATGCCTAATGAAGTATATATACTTTGACTAAATGGTAAGCTATGCTTCACATTCTTGAAAAGTAGTCAAATTCACTATGGAATGTGAAAAAGGAAAAATAGATTTTTTTTTTTAGAATCTGTTATGTATAATGTATATCATGATATTATCAGCATTTCTAATATTTAATTTCTGAGACTTTTCACTAGAAAAGATATGCATAATGTCTAAAGTAAACTGTACTAACTCTTCTTTCTGACCACAGGGAAGTCAGTTTCATATGTAGATCAAATGTTTAAAAACACAAAGTAATTATGTTGAATTATTTTAAAAAAAAGCAGTTAGGAATTGGATTTTTTTCTATGTCTAATATTGATTGTATTCAATAACCTGTTGACCTTGGAAATACTTTTATGAGTCAGATATTTTTGTTCAGGGTATTTGACATTTCAACTTAATGAATGATAATTTATTTTGGATAAAATTTTATATTTGTGAGCAAGTTCTCACAGTTCAGATTATTTAGAATCATTATCCTGTCTTATAGAGATAATTTGGAATGCATGAAGCATTACTGTGATTTGAAAGTAACACTTTAAGTGTTAAGCATCAAATTAAATTTAACATTTTCTCTTCTGTGAAATTGTAAATATGATTTCTCTGAAACTCAAAAAGGTGTATTTTTAGAGGTACTCCGACCTTTAAAATGAGCACAATAGGTCTAGTCCAACACCATCAAGAGCTGTCAAAAGATTGATGTCTTATAGTCTTTGTGTTCAACCATAAGTCTGGTAAAGGTGGATCAATTTTAACTGAAAATAGCTAACTCTCCTGGGCAAACTATATGAGGACAGATTATGGGTAGACATAAAATCTCCTTTAAAACCTGAAATGAAATGCAAGTTTTGGCACCTTGAGGTGTAAGGTAATGAAAAGAGAATGAGTTTTCCTTTAAGGTAGTTTGTAATTGAAGTCTCTGAACCTATTCATTTCTCTGTTGCTTTGTGTTTTAGCTGCCTACCTTGTTCATATATAAAAAGGAAAAAAGAAATATACCATGTAAGTGTTAAAAATTAAAATGGAGTATGAGAGTGTGGTTTATAGTTCTTAAAATTAGATAAAGATAATTAACAGAAAAGTAGAAAGGTTATAATGAAACTCAAACAAGCCAGGATCATTATCATGACTATAAAATATATATACATGTATATGTATATATATACATACACATACAAAATGCATACTGTCCAAGTGGTACAGTAATTAGCTTATGACATTCCATGTAAATAGAGATGAGCCAAATTAGGATTTGGCTGTTGTGCTTCACAGCAGGCCTTCATTTGTTATGTAATCAGTTGCATCTGTTGCAGTGAAAATTACTTTTTCATCAATTAAATAAATCCAAAGCTGCTACTAGAAATCTAACAATTTATTCACTCATTCATGTATTCAAACAGCATGTAATGAGAACTTGGTAGAGGACAAATGCTATGGATACAAGGGTGAACAAATATTGTTGGCCCTTTATATCCCCAGATTCAATCAACAAAAAATTGAAAATATTCAAGGGAAAAAAAAAAAAAAAACCTTCCAGGAAGTTCCAAAAAGCAAAGCTTGAATTTTCTGCACAACAACAACTATTTACATACTATTTACATTATCTAGAGTTGATTTAAAGGGTTCAGGAGAGTGTGCATGGGTTATACACAAATACTAATCCATTTTATACAAGAGACTTGAGTATTCTCAGATCTTGGTATCCTCAGGGGTCCGAACAATCTCCCATGGGTTCTGAGGGAAAATTGTATTGCATCAGTATTCAAGAAGCATATTATATGTGGAAAGTGAAGGTAACTCTGTGTGCAACAACTTTAATTCACTATGAGGAAAAAGTAAATCTAGGAACCTATGGACTTTAATCCATAGCTGGAGAATCCTTTCATTCAACCTAGGAACATCAGAATATGATTTTCAGATGGAATGCTATCCAAGTGAGTCCTGAAAGTGCATTAGTGATCATTTCAGCAAAACTCTGTGTAGGGAAAATAAAGGATACTCTGTACAAAAGGGAGAGAGTATATGAAGACCTGGAAAAGAAAGGCAGAAGGGCACACTTAGTAGATTGTAATAATCTGGAGCTCAGGATGAGAGTCACACAGATGAGAAAAGAGGCAAGGTTGGATAAGTAAGCAAAGGGCCAATGATGACATGTGTGGAGAACAGCATACATTTTAGAAAGATCACTCTGGCTGAAGTGCCATTTGGATCAAGCTAAAAGGGAAAAAAGGCTACTCAAAAGCCTAAAACTGCAAAAAAAGACAAAGATTAGTGAGAATTGAGAAGGTGATCATCTCTGTGGAAATAAAATCAATAAAATTACTGGCTGAATCAGAGGAAAGGAGGTGAAAGTAAGAAACCGAGGCTGGTCTGTGGTATAAAAAGATGGTAAGAATGCAGTGAAAAGCATGCATGTGCTGGAGGTGAAAGCTCAATCATCCAGTTTTGAGGCAGGTAGAGAGCTAGATATGCAGTTAGCTAGCTAACTTATATGCAGAATACATCGTGCAAAATGCCAGGATGCATGAAGCACAAATTGGAATTAAGATTGCCAGGAGAAACTTCAACAACCTCAGATACACAGATGACACCACCCTTATGGCAGAAAGTGAAGAGGAACTAAAGAGCTTCTTAATGAAGGTGAAAGAGCTGGCTTAAAACTCAACATTCAAAAAAGGAAGATCATGGATCCAGTCCCATCACTTCATGGCAAATAGATGGAGAAACAATGGAAACAGTGACAGACTTTACTTTCTTGGGCTCCAAAATCACTATGGATAATGACTGCAGCTATGAAATTAAAAGATGCTTGCTCCTTGAAAGAAAAGCTATGACAAACCTAGACAGTATATTAAGAAGCAGAGACATCAATTTGCTAACAATAGTCCATCTAGTCAAAGATATGGTTTTTCCAGTAGTCATGTATGGATGTGAGTTGGACCATAAAGAAAGTTGAGCAACCAAGAGTTGATGATTTCAAATTGTGGTGTAGGAGAAGACTCTTGAGAGTCCCTTAGGCTACAAGGAGAACAAACTAGTTAATCCTCAAGGAAATCAACCCTGAATATTCATTGGAAGGACAGATACTGAAGCTGAAGCTCCAATACTTTGGCCACTTGATGCAAAGAGCTGACTCACTGGAAAAGACCCTTATGCTAGGAAAGATTGAGGGCAGAAGGAAAAGAGGGTGACAGAGGATGAGATGGTTGGATGGCTTCATTGACTTAATGGACATGACTTGAGCAAATTCTGGGAGACAGTGAAGGACAGGGAAGTCTCATGTGCTGCAGTCCATGAGGTCACAAAGAGCTGCATACCATTGATTGACAGAACAATAATAAATTTCACTGAGAAAGTAGAAGCAATCTGAAGATAGGGTCCCTCACATGCACCTACTGACTGTATGTGCACATGTATACTCTATTTTGCATTCACTGATATGCTACATATAAACAGTGTGTGCATCTATTAAAGGCCAGTTGTGTGCACTGAATTCTATTACATCCTATCTTGACTGCTGAAGGAAATCACTCTAGAAAATCCCCTCTATCTCTCCATCAGCACCAATTGTTGTCTCCTGTTAGATTATTCTCATAACTGTACATAAATTCTTCTAACCTTGATAAGGCCACCTTGACCTACCATTTCTTCCACTAATTTTCCTTTATAGCAAGACTTCTTTTTTTTTTCTTTTTTCTTTTTCATTTATTTTTATTAGTTGAAGGCTAATTACTTTACAATATTGTAGTGGTTTTTGCCATACATTGACATGAATCAGCCATGGATTTACATGTGTTTCCCATCCTGATCCCCCCCCCCCACCTCCCTCTCCACCTGATCCCTCTGGGTCTTCCCAGTGCACCAGCCCTGAGCACTTGTCTCATGCATCCAACCTGGGCTGGTGATCTGTTTCACCCTTGATAGTATACTTGTTTCAATGCTGTTCTCTCAGATCATCCCACCCTCGCCTATTCCCATAGAGTCCAAAAGTCTATTCTGTACATGTGTGTCTCTTTTTCTGTTTTGCATATAGAGTTGCCATTACCATCTTTTTAAATTCCATATATATGCATTAGTATACTGTATTGGTCTTTATCTTTCTGGCTTACTTCACTCTGTATAATGGGCTCCAGTTTCATCCATCTCATTAGAACTGTTCCAAATGAATTCTTTTTAATGGCTGAGTAATATTCCATGGTGTATATGTATCACAGCTTCCTTATCCACTCGTCTGCTGATGGGCATCTAGGTTGCTTCCATGTCCTGGCTATTATAAACAGTGCTGCGATGAAATTGGGGTGCACGTGTCTCTTTCAGATCTGGTTTCCTTGGTGTGTATGCCCAGAAGTGGGATTGCTGGGTCATATGACAGTTCTATTTCCAGTTTTTTAAGTAATCTCCACACTGTTTTCCGTAGCGGCTGTACTAGTTTGCATTCCCACCAACAGTGTAAGAGGGTTCCCTTTTCTCCACACCCTCTCCAGCATTT